AGAACGATGGTATCGACGTGCAATCGAACACTTCAAACAGAATGAACATATCTGTAAACATACAGTACCATGTTTTGCGATAGTTGCTCAATTTTACACGCAAGGAGAAAGTTTTCTCTCAGCTGTTCGTGTTTATGATGATTTGATCCATCATTTGGTTAGATACAGTCCTTCTTCATTTCTCCGTACATCGATTTTTCCTGTTGTACGATCGCTCATTAAAAATTTCATTGATCGCACCGAATGGAAGACAGTTATTATCCTTTTCGAGCATTTAATTCAAACAGTTCTCAAAGAACACAATGATCACCTCGGTATCGATAAAGAATTCCAAAAGATTCTCGAAATTTGTAAGAATCTCGACGATTCAATCATGATTGACACATATTCATGTTATCTAGAAATTATGTTGCGCTATCGATGCACATCACATCATACTTATCTGTCTGCAATTGAGCCAGCCTTCCGTCAAGCGTTGAGTATCTATAAAGCATGTAACAATACGCGACGATTGATATGTACTTATCAAAAGTTTCTGGAACTAATTATCAGTACTATGACAAACTTTACCATGTTCCTCAACGCCTTTCAACGCTTGGCTCTCGATCTAGAAGCAGTTCAACTTGTTAGCGAAGCTCTCGACATGCATATACAATTTGCTCGGTTTATTTTGACGAATAATACGAAAGAAACGATAAATAATGCTGGTTTTATCATCGGGCGATATCGATTGCTTGCAAAAAATGGAGCTCACTTCAATATTGACTATCAACAGACAATAATACGGCTAATGAAGTATTATCGTAATATAGTCGAACCACAATTTATTATTGACGATTATCTAAAGACAATGAAGAGTCACCTGAATCGTGACGGTTCTGCTACTAGCATCTATGCCAGTATGCTGGAATTGTTCATTTATTATCGGCCGGAACATTATATTCAACACTACAAAGCAACTGTCAATGAATTGAAAGAACGACCAGCGGAATTAATCGCTTTTGTCAATACAATGCGAGTAAAATATACTCCACTTATAGAAAATTTGTTTGAATTCTTGAAGCAACTTGATAGTGAAAATGAGACATCGCCTTCAGCCGATCAAATATCGTTAAAAACGAATTTTGAAGATGAAGCTCGATTGTGGCTCGAACAGAAAACTCAAGTAGATACTAAACTCTCTTATGAGAAATGCCTTCAATCTGTTCTTGAATTGCATTCAATTGATGACGAATATTTAGCTGCTGCTTATCTACAAATGGAGGATCAAACAAATGCCGTTGCTGTTTTCAGTAAATTCATATATGGAGAACCGGCACGTAGATACAGTGCTAATGCTTGTCGACGATATCTGAAATATCTATATAATGAAACCTTGAGTGATCTTGAACGTATGGAATTCGAACGTGACTATACTAAATATTTTGTTCTGGAAAATAACTCCACGCATGACCATTACTCGTATGATCTTCTCCTACTTGTAGATTTCTGACTATTTTTTATGAAGAACGTTGTGCCTATCTGTACTTATCCCAGATTTAATTTTCAAGTACCATTATGCAGATATTTATTTTATTTCTTTTTCAGATAGGAACATATAAATTAATGGATACTTGCGAATTTACATTCATCAGTCGAGATGATTCACAACCAAAACGNAAAATCGATAATATTGTTTATAATGAGTCTGAAGGTGTCCACCTAGTCCAGATGACATTTATTGACGAGAACGAAGACGAAAAGTTCGTAGTAATCGAAGACTTTCGAGCATTGCGAGCATATCCATCTGAAATAGCATTGATGAAAATTGGTAATTTACTTTCGTATGATCAATCACAAGGTTTAACTCAAGCAGCAACTTTTTACGAGACTATAATCAATCGAAATTTTTCACCGATGTTCAGAGCTGCTTGCCTTACTGGACTTGGTTGGCTTGCCTTAAAAGAAAAGAACGAGGATCTAGCTATCGAAAGGCAACAAAGAGCTTTGGCTTTTTATGATGAATTAAATGACGAAAGTGACAGCATAGCTTTCCTTCGTATGACAAGTTACAACTGTATCGGATGCGCTTTAAGAATAAAGAAAAAATATGACGAAGCGCTTGAATATTTTATGAAAGCCGATGAACTACCGACATCAAAAGCACCCATCGATAAATACGACATGTATGATTTGTATAAAAACGTCGCATCAGTGAATATTGCTTCGATCTACAAACTAACGAACCGAATCGATCGCGCCTGGGAGACATATAAAAAGATCTTGGTTTCTCAAATGAAATCATCCAGTCGTTTTCATAGTCATACATTTCTGACCATTGCTCAAGCCGGTCTCAGTGAAACGTGTTTGGTACAGGACAAACGACAATACCAACAACTTTCTCAGACTTGGAAAGCATTTCTCGACCATAGTCTGACGGACATGTCATCGAGCTATCGTCGAAGTATTGTCTCAGGCATATTTGCGATTGGTTTTGAGTTCGAAACAAACGAGCAAACCCGCATGATGGCCATCGATTATTTTAAAAAAATCATCACCATTTCATGCAAGTATGTTAATGTCAGTCGAGATGATTATCATATTGTTTTAAAGTGTTATTTGGAATTATCGTGTCTATATCTAAAAACTCGGAAAAATTATCAAGAGTCAATCCAACAATGTATTCATGCATTGGAACTTTGCCGAAACGATGATGTTGAGAATCTTTTCGAATGTTACAAATGCTTAGGAAATACATTTGAAGAACAATATTTAGAACAAATGAGTGATTTGACACCCGATGACATTTGTACGAAATTATGTGAATCGATATTCAAAAACGAATCTATGAACATGGAAAGAGTACGATCAAAATTCGTTTTCAACCAGAATGAGTTTGCTTTTGGACGATATGAAACAGCACTGAACCGAGATCTCTTTGACGAACACGATCATAAATGTCAATTTGTTTATTGCTGTTTGAAAATGGCAGCATTAGCTCATCATCTTGCGTCTCGGGAAGGAGGCCACATGACAATTAAATCCGAAACAGCTCGTCAGCTGGTTATGAAGGCAAATTCACTTATTGAAGATACATCGGTTCAAGAAATCTGTGCGAATAACTTGGCATATTTAAATGATGACTTCGATCCAATTATTGCCGCATATCAAGACAAGCTCAAAACTCAACAGTCATCGTGCGTTGATGAAAGCATCTTCTGCTATATCGGTCATTTGTACGAGAAAAAGAACGATCCTGTCGAACAAGAACGATGGTATCGACGTGCAATCGAACACTTCAAACAGAATGAACATATCTGTAAACATACAGTACCATGTTTTGCGATAGTTGCTCAATTTTACACGCAAGGAGAAAGTTTTCTCTCAACTGTTCGTGTTTATGATGATTTGATCCAACATTTGGTTCGATACAGTCCTCCTTCATTTCTCCGTACATCGATTTTTCCTGTTGTTCGATCGCTCATTGAAAATTTCATTGATCGCACCGAATGGAAGACGGTTATTATCCTTTTCGAGCATTTAATTCAAACAGTTCTCAAAGAACCCAATGATCACCTCGGTATCGATAAAGAATTCCAAAAGATTCTCGAAATTTGTAAGAATCTCGACGACTCGATCATGATTGACACATATTCATGTTATCTAGAAATTATGTTGCGCTATCGATGCATATCACATCATACTTATCTGTCTGCGATTGAGCCAGCCTTCCGTCAAGCTTTGAGTATCTATAAAGCATGTAACAATAAACGACGATTGATATGTACTTATCAAAAGTTTCTGGAACTGATTATCAGTACTACGACAAACTTTACTACGTTCCTCAACGCCTTTCAACGCTTGGCTCTCGATCTAGAAGCAGTTCAACTGGTTAACGAAGCTCTCGACATGCATATACGATTTGCTCGGTTTATTTTGACGAATAATACGAAAGAAACAATATTGAACGCTAGTTTCATCATTGGGCGATATCGATTGCTTGCAAAAAATGGAGCTCACTTCAATATTGACTATCAGCAGACAATATTACGGTTAATGAAGTATTATCGTAATATAGTCGAGCCACAATTTATTATTGACGATTATCTAAAGACAGTGAAGAGTCACCTGAAGCGTGATGGTTCTGCTACTAGCATCTATGCCAGTATGCTGGAATTTTTCATTTATTATCGACCGGAACATTATATTCAACACTACAAAGCAACTGTCAATGAATTGAAAGAACGACCAGCGGAATTAATCGCTTTTGTCAGTACAATGCGAGTAAAATATACTCCACTTATAGAAAATTTATTTGAATTCTTGAAGCAACTTGATAGTGGAAATGAGACATCGCCTTCAGCCGACCAAATATCGCTAAAAACGAACTTTGAAGATGAAGCTCGATTGTGGCTCGAACAGGAAACTCAAGTAGATACTAAACTGTCTTATGAGAAATGCCTTCAATCTGTTCTTGAATTGCACTCAATTGATGACGAATATTTAGCTGCTGCTTATCTACAAATGGGAGATGAGACAAATGCCGTTGCTGTTTTCAGTAAATTCATATACGGAGAACCGGCACGTAGATACAGCGCTAATGCTTGTCGAAGATATCTTAAATATCTATATAATGAAACCTTGAGTGATCTTGAACGTATGGAATTCGAACGTGACTATACTAAACATTTCGTTCTGGAAAATAACTCCACACATGAGCATTACTCGTATGATCTTCTCCCACTTGTATATTTCTGACTATTTTCTATGAAAAACGTTGTACTCATCTGTACTTATCCTAGATTTAATTTTCAAGTACAATTATGCAGATATTTATTTTATTTCTTTTTCAGATAAGAACATATAGATTAATGGATACTTGCGAATTTACATACATCAGTCGAGATGATTCGCAACCAAAAACTACATTAGGTATCGAACGTTCATGGGATGAACTCAAAGCTGAGTTTGGTCGCAGTGGACCTGGACTTCCTGGTGCAATTTATTTTAAAACAATTAGTATTGAAGGACCTATGCTCTTTGCTGTTATAGATGGTACTACGGTGCTGTATCACGAGCATGGCAAATGGTATCAATATATAACAGCAAAAGATATCAAGTTTGGCATGGTGAATACGGATGAGCTCAATCCAATGCGAGCAACAATTGACAAGAATTATTTGGATGATAAGAAATGGTCTGTTACTTATCATAGTTAAATGATTATTTCGTAGAAATGCTTTAAAATATTTTCGTAAACTGTAGATTTATATTATGTTTGGTATAGTATCGGTTTAATTGTAAGTGTATAAGATAAAATTTGAATAAACTGTAGCACTCCCTTCCTATATTGTCGAATTTTCGGTGTCAAAGTTTCTGTGAGTGAGTATATGAATCAAATACTATTGTTTCTGCGCCGGCATCTCCACTCTCGCTATAGATTTGTGTGTGAGAACTACTATATATATAATAGATTTTACTTCGTAATGTATCACTAAATTATAGAAGATTAAGTTGACAAGCACGAGACAGTTCTGCTCAAAAAGAAAAATATGTCAGTTAATCAAATTAGCCATGTTTGGTTTATATGTGATAAAAAGAAATTTCAATAAGATGAACGGTAAAGTATATAGGAATCGTCATCAATTGTTGTGCACTTCGACTTTTCATTGGACGTGTACCGGAATTTGTTGTGAATAATATCGTGGTGGATGCTTGTTGCTCAGTTGTTTGTTCATCAACAATGTGTAGTTGTCTTTTTATTGCAGAAATATCATAGATTTGTTCGACCTTTCGAATGACTTCGTTACCAATGGTTTGATTATTACATTGATTATAATTGCATATATATTGAATCCTTTGTTTATAAAGAAGTTTCTTCGCGACGTCTGGTATAAAGTGATTATCAATATACAGTTTAATTCCATTTTCGGGAGGCACTCGACATCGATATTCAAAGTGCTTTTCATAAATCCAAGAAATACTTACACAAAGATCGCCAGCGCATTTGACTAGTTTTCTATCTTCGTTTAAACATCGAACTAAAAGTAAAATTCAAAGAATGATTCATTCATTTTTGATTCTTTCGAGAAAAAATTGCTTTTTCACCTTGTTTAGGGTTCTTTTTATATAATAGTAGTACCATTGATTCATGTAGCTTTTGCTCATTGTTTGATATCAGGAAAGCTTGAACAAATTGAAAAACAAATGATCGGTCACAAAAATCATGTTGTGAGCAAGCATGCCCAAGAATTTTTGTAAATCGTATCTCATTTAACTCTTCATATGATTCTAAATCAAAAGCAATTAACGTTTGAAGATACGTTTGTTCATCATGTAAAACAACGGGTATCATAGAATTACTGTTAAACAAAACAGTGAGCTCGTTCGTGTGTCCGATAAGGAACAACTGAAGACGACACGATTCGTTTTGACGATGATGAATGGACGTCTGAGAGAAAAGATATGTCTGAAGTTCCTCGAAATCAAAATCGTTCGCTTTAATGGGATGAGTTGTCGAAGAGATGCATAAAAGACCATTGATACGCATTGGATAAACAAAGATGAAGTATATCATTAAACCCAACATCATTCGACCGATATAATGAAACAAATAACCATTGGCATTTAAAACTTGACGCGTTTATCTTTGTCAGTAAAAATCGCAATATTCTTTACTGCACATGTTGGATTCTAGAGAGCTGTTGTCAAGTTTCCATATAGCAGAACAATATTTTTTTATTAAAATACTAGATAAATGTTATATTTGAAAAACTTTTTATCTTTTGTCTACATCAAAGCTATTTGATGATGAGAATCTGTTTATGTTGTAGCGTTTGCGCAATCGTATTGTAGTCAGTTCTTTTCTTCCAGATGATCTCTATAAGACCAACTCAGCACACATATTAGCAGCGTGGCTACAATCTGTATCGAAAAAGAAAAAAAAACAGCACCGTTATTTTCTACGTAAATTGATCAAATTACGACATCGCTCGAACGGAAAAGTGTAAAATTCGTAATTTTGTTCGGACTATTAGTCATCGATGGGACATTATTTTGCAGAAGAAAACATTTGACAAAAATGTTGCGCATCTCTGACATTATCGTGAAAAGAAAGGCAAACGACCAAAATCCGCTTCTAATGAAGCTCTTAGTATTTCTCGTCCATGAAATGAAAACATTATGACACAACCCAACCTCTTTCAAGGAGGGTAGTGTTGTTTTTGTGAGTACATCAATGTTTTTCGCCATTCGAACTGGTCACGGAACTAATTCTTTGCTCTTTATTTGATAAAATCATGCCGCTGATCGAAAAAGTGAATTCATATTCATCAAAATATTTATTCTATACCGCAAGAATTCATAGTTTAACTCATCAATTGTCGATGAAACGTTTGATTTCGTAAAAAATTTTCTTGAAAAACATGTTTATGTAGATGTCAAGTCAAAATGACGATATTTTACATATATAGAAGAAAAACATAACCAAAACAGTTTTCTTCACTGTTATTGTATAACAAACTTTGCTCATCGAATGTTTGCGAATGATGCAATGCATGCAAATCGAACATACAGCATCCAAGGCGAGCCGTATACTTTACTGAATCGGCTAGGCCATGGAAGCTTTGGATCTGTCTGGAGAGCTCGATCACAAAATGGTATGAATATCATCTGACGACAGATGAGAAGCCTTTCTGCAGTTCACATCTACTCATGTACTTTGATATTTTCTAGGTGAATACGTGGCTGTCAAAATAGTCGATTTCAGCCGGGCAAGATTTTATATTGGCATAAGTGAACGGGCACATTATTTTTCAAATGAGACTAGAATCATGAGTAGACTACGAAGTGAAACTGAATCTATTGTGACAATGTATGCGCATGAATTCAATCCGCGGTATGGCGCAGGTTTTATAGCAATGGAATTAGGAGATGAATCATTGATCGATCGAGTTCGAGTTCTGCATCATGTAAATTTAAGAACGGGATCGTTGGAGGATTACATTCCGGCAAAAGATCGACAGAATATATGGATTCAGTTGGTTAATATTGTTCTTGCACTTCAACGGCAAGGTGTAGTAAGTTATCGAAAACTAATTAGTTGAATATGAACGGCGATGATCAATGTATTTCATCGCGTAGGTTCATCGTGATCTGAAGCCAGCTAATTTATTATTCTTCGGACCGAATCTAAAAGCGGTCGACTTTGGCACATCTCAAGAGGAATCAGCTGGGTAAGCTTGACTTTTCTTCTTTCAATGACATATTTCCGTACTATTGTTTTTCCTCTTTCTAGATATCACCATCAGCAAAAGACAGGTGGTACTCGTCCTTACAGTGCACCGGAATGTTTTTCAGGTCGAGTACCTATTACCTCAAAAGCTGATATATGGTCAATAGGTGCGATCCTGTATTATATAACGTATGGCAGACGACCTATATACGAAACTTCACAACCACCATATGGAGCTTTTCCAACACGTTCTCAGGCTGTTCAAGACGTTCTTTATCAGTGTCTTCAACGAAATCCAAACAGACGACCGGACCATCAATGGCTTGTTCAACATCCTCTAACGAACTCTATGACATTTTTTTTAGCTGACAGAAAATNGCGAATTTACATTCATCAGTCGAGATGATTCACAACCAAAACGTACATTAGGTATTGAACGTTCATGGGATGAACTCAAAGCTGAGTTTGGTCGCAGTGGTCCTGGACTTCCTGGTGCAATTTATTTTAAAACAATTAGTATTGAAGGACCTATGCTCTTTGCTGTTATAGATGGTACTACGGTGCTGTATCATGAGCATCATAAATGGCATCAATATATAACAGCAAAAGATATCAAGTTTGGCATGGTGAATACGGATGAGCTCAATCCAATGCGAGCAACAATTGACAAGAATTATTTGGATGATAAGAAATGGTTTGTTACTTATCATAGTTAAATGATTATTTTGTAGAAATACTTGAAAATATTTTCATAAACTGAAGATTTGTATTATGTTTGGTATAGTACGGTTTAATTGTAAGTGTATAAGATAAAATTTGAATAAACTATTGCACTTCCTTCCTATGTTGTCGAATTCTCAGTGTCAAAGTTTCTGTGAGTGAGTATGAATCAAACACTATTGTTTCTACACCGGCATCTCCACTCTCGCCATAGATTTGTGTGTGAGAACTACTATATATATATAATAGATTTTACTTCGCAATGTATCACTAAATTATAGAAGATTAGGTTGACAAACACGAGACAGATTTGCTCAGAAAGAAAAATATGTCAGTTAATCAAATTAGCCATGTTTAGTTTATATGTGATAAAAAGAAATTTCAATAAGATGAACGATAAAGTATATAGGAATCGTCATCAATTGTTGTGCACTTCGACTTTTCATTGGACGTGTATCCATTGATGTCAAATCATTAATAGTGAACGTTTTCCCCTCGCTGGTGAAATGAGTACTATTTGATACTCTTGATGATAAAGTCTCAAACTGTGCTGATGAAGATGATGGATCATTTACGACGAAAACAGATGGGGAAGACATGGGTATGTCTGTCGATGTTGTTGTGTCGATCATGGCATTTGTTGTGAATAATATTGTGGTGGATGCTTGTTGCTCAGTTGTTTGTTCATCAACAATGTGTAGTTGTCTTTTTATTGCAGAAATATCGTAGATTTGTTCGACCTTTTGGATGACTTTATTACCAATGGTTTGATTATTACATTGATTATAATTGCATATGTATTGAATCCTTTGTTTATAAAGAAGTTTCTTCGCGACGTCTGGTATAAAGTGATTATCAATATACAGTTTAATTCCATTTTCGGGAGGCACTTGACACTGATATTCAAAGTGCTTTTCATAAATCCAAGAAATACTTACACAGAGATCGACATCAGCGCATTTTACTAGTTTTCTATCTTTGTTTAAACATTGAACTAAAAGTAAAATTCAAAGAATGATTCACTCATTTTTTATTCTTTCGAGGAAAAATTGCTTTTTCACCTTGTTTAGGGTTCTTTTTATATAATAGTGGTACCATTGTTTCATGTAACTTTTGCTCATTGTTTGATATCAGGAAAGCTTGAAAAAATGAAAAACAAATGATCGATCACAAAAATCATGTTGTGAGCAAGCATGCCCAAGAACTTTAGTAAATCGTATCTCATTTAACTCCTCATATGATTCTAAATCAAAAATAATTAACGTTTGAAGATACTTTTGTTCATCATGTAAAACAACGGATACCATAGAACTACTGTTAAATAAAACAGTGAGCTCGTTCGTGTGTCCGATAAGGAACAACTGAAGACGACACGATTCGTTTTGACGATGATGAATGGGCGTCTGAGAGAAAACATATGTCTGAAGTTCCTCGAAATCAAAATCATTTGTTTTAATGGGATGAGTTGTCGAAGGGATACATAAAAGACCATTGATACGCATTGGATTAACGAAGATGAAGTATATCATTAAACCCAACATCATTCGACCAATATAATGAAACAAATAACCATTGACATTTAAAACTTGACGCGTTTATCTTTGTCAGTAAAAATCGCAGTATTCTTTACTGCACACGTTGGATTCTAGAGTGCTGTTGTCAAGTTTCGATATAACAGAACAATATTTTTTATTAAAATACTAGATAAATGTTATATTTGAAAGACTTTTTATCTTGTATCTACATCAAAATTATCTAATAATGAGAATCTAGTTTATGTCGTACCGTTTGCCCAATCGTATTGTAGTCATTTCTTTTCTTCCAGATGATCTCTATAAGACCAACTCAACACACATATTAGCAGCGTGGTCACAATCTGTATCGAAAAATAAAAAAAAAACAACACCGTTATTTTCTACGTAAATTGCTCAAATTACGACATCGCTCGAACGGAAAAGTGTAAAATTCGTAATTTTGTTCGGACTATTAGTCATCGATGGCACATTATTTTGCAGAAGAAAACATTTGACAAAAATGTTGCGCATCTCTGACTTTATCCTGAAACGAAAGGCAAATGACCAAAATCCACTTCTACTGAAGCTCTTAGCATTTCTCGCCCATGAAATGAAAACATGATGACACAACTTGACCTCTTTCAAGGAGGGTAGTGTTGTTTTTGCGAGTACATCAATGTTTTTCGCCATTCGAACCGGTCACGGAACTAATGCTTTGCTCTTTATTTGATAAAATCATACCGCTGATCGAAAAAGTGAATTCATATTCATCAAAATATTTATTCTATAGCGCAAGAATTCATAGTTGAAACTCATCGATTGTCGATGAAACATTTGATTTCGTAAAAAATTTTCTTGAAAAACATGTTTATGTAGATGTCAAGTCAAAATGACGATATTTTACATATATAGAAGAAAAACACAACCAACACAGTTTTCTTCACTGTTATTGTATAATAAACTTTGTTCGTCGAATGTCTGCAAATGATGCAATGCATGCAAATCGAACATACAGCATCCAAGGCGAGCCGTATACTTTACTGAATCGGCTAGGCCATGGAAGCTTTGGATCTGTTTGGAGAGCTCGATCACAAAGTGGTATGAATCTCATCTGACGACAGATGAGAGACTTTTCTGCAGTTCACACCGTCTCATGTACTTTGATATTTTCTAGGTGAATACGTGGCTGTCAAAATAGTTGATTTCAGCCGGGCAAGATTTTATATTGGCTTAAATGAACGGGCACATTATTTTTCAAATGAGACTAGAATCATGAGTAGACTAAAAAGTGAAACTGAATCTATTGTAACAATGTATGCGCATGAATTCAATCCGCGGTATGGCGCAGGTTTTATAGCAATGGAATTAGGAGATGAATCGTTGATCGATCGAGTTCGAGTTCTGCATCATGTACATTTAAGAACAGGATCGTTGGAGGATTACATTCCGGCAAAAGATCGACAGAATATATGGATTCAGTTGGTGAATATTGTTCTTGCACTTCAACGGCAAGGTGTAGTAAGTTATCGAAAACTAATTAGTTAAATATACACGGTGATGATCAATGTAATTATTTCATCGTGTAGGTTCATCGTGATCTGAAGCCAGCTAATTTATTATTCTTCGGACCGAATCTAAAAGCGGTTGACTTCGGCACATCTCAAGATGAATCAGCTGGGTGAGTTTGACTTTTCTTCTTTCAATGGCATATTTCCGTACTGTTGTTTTTCCTCTTTCTAGATATCACCATCACCAAAAGACAGGTGGTACTCGTCCTTACAGTGCACCGGAATGTTTTTCAGGTCGAGTACCTATTACCTCAAAAGCTGACATATGGTCAATAGGTGCGATTTTGTATTTTATAACGTATGGGAGACGACCTATATACGAAACTTCACAACCACCATATGGAGTTTTTCCAACTCGTTCTCATGCTGTTCAAGACGTTCTTTATCAGTGTCTTCAACGAAATCCAAACAGACGACCGGACCATCAATGGCTTGTTCAACATCCTCTAACGAACTCTATGACAGTGTTTTGAGCTGAGAGAAAGTCGTCCTCTGTAGATAAACTCAATGAGATACTAATAAAAAAAACACAGATTGTATTCACTCGTATTGAAATAGAATATGTAGACCAGATGTAGTAATACTAAAGTTGCACATTTACAGGACAACCAATTGATGAGTGGTTGATATGCGAAATGCCGCTGAAAAAAGTGTTTTGCATTTGTTTCAATAAATTTATCGAGAAACTCGATCTGTATTTTATCTTGAATGCCATCTGGAATTGATTTTCTTCTGATATATTTATTACAATGGAATATATTTATTTAAAAGCGAATCATAAATACATTTGTTATTAAAAAGAAAATAATAGTTCTTTGAAGTTCCAAGACGAAAACATATCAAGTATATTCAGGAAATGATTCGTAATATTATTTATGGATATTCAACAGAGCCCATATATCCAATCATTGAAGAATTACAGTATTCTAAATTGGAATTTCTATTTGCCTCTTTATTAAATTTTTTTGTTATTTTTTGTACTGCTTTGTCTGGCTTACGTATTATGGTTGTGACTTCTACATCATTTTCAACACAATTTTTGTGACAGTTATAACAGATATGATAAGTGCCATTGGGCGGCACATTTTTCTTCCAAGAAATATTCTCTGGACCATATCGGTCTTCGTCTCTATGATGCTTTCCCCCGTCGGTTTCGCTGCTGGCGTCGTCATTCCCATAATAGATAAGTTTTCCTGTGGGAGTTTGTACGTAGAGATCGCCGTCGCCTGTTTGTGACCAAGCCATACTAATACCAAAAAGGGCAACACGTAGACAAAAGCCATTAAAGCACACTTTCTTTTGGCCGCAGCCTTGAAGACACGTTCTGATATCTATAAATAGATAAAAAAAATATTCATGTCATATTGAAATTGAGAAGTATAATCTCAAGTATTAAAACCATTGTTTGCACAAAACATTTATAATAGTTTTGTATATCAATTGAAAATGTAACATGAAAGAATTATTCAATTCATTAGATTTGATTTTGCACTCAGTATGCTGTAAATGCCAATTTCTTTTCTCGATGGATTATAGCATAGCGCACGAGCATGTCGTTATTAGAAAAAAATAAAGTAATACAAATGAAGTCCTACCACAAATTCCAGAATTGCAAATCTCGGTGCCACAATCCCGGCTGGAATTGCAATACGCATAAACAGGACATTTCTTTATCGGTGCACATGGTCCCGAACAATCGCCGTCAGTTTCCCCTTGNGAGTGGTTGATATGCGAAATGCCGCTGAAAAATGTGTTTTGCATTTATTTCAATAAATTTATCGAGAAACTCGATCTATATTTTATCTTGAATGCCATCTGGAATTGATTTTCTTCTGATATATTTATTACAATGGAATATATTTATTTAAAAGCGAATCATAAATACATTTGTTATTAAAAAGAAAATAATAGTTCTTTGAAGTTCCAAGACGAAAACATGTCAAGTATATTCAGCAAATGATTCGTAATATTATTTATGGGTATTCAACAGAGCCCATATATCCAATCATTGAAGAATTACAGTATTCTAAATCGGATTTTCTATTTACCTCTCTAGTAAATTTTTTTGTTATTTTTTGTACTGCTTTGCCTGGCTTACGTATTATGGTTGTGACTTCTACATCGTTTTTAACACAACCCTTGCGACAGTTATAACAGATATGGTAAGTGCCATTGGGCGGCACATTTTTCTTCCAAGAAATATTCTCTGGGCCATATAGGCCTTTGTCGTCATGATGCTTTCCCCCGTCGGTTTCGCTGCTGGGGTCGTCATTTTCATGATAGATAAGTTTTCCTGTGGGAGTTTGTACGTAGAGATCGCCGTTGCCTGTTTGTGACCAAGTCATACTAATACCAAAAAAGGCAACACGTAGACAAAAGCCATTGAAGCACACTTTCTTTTGGCCGCACCCTTGAAGACACGCTCTGATATCTATAAATAGATAAACAAATATTCATGTCATATTGAAATTGAGAATTATAGTCTCAAGTATTAAAACTATTGTTTGCACAAAATATTTATAATACTTTTGTATATCAATTGAAAATGTAACATGAAAGACTTATTCTATTCATTGGATGTGATTTCGCACTCGAAAACGATTTATGAGATTTCAATATGCTATAAATGCCAATTTCTTTTCTCGATGAATTATAGCATAGCGCACAAGCATGTAGTTATTAGAAAAAAACTAAAGTAATACAAATGAAACCCTACCACAAATTCCAGAATTGCAAATCTCGGTGCCACAATCCCGGCTGGAATTGCAATACGCATAAACAGGACATTTCTTTATCGGTGCACATGGTCCAGAACAATCTACGTCAGTTTCTCCTTCATCTATCTTACTGTTATTACAATGAGCAGCTACAATAATCAACCGAACCGATGCGTATTTTACATTTCAAACGGCATGATGAACTTACGTGAGCAGAGATTTGATTCGCATAAATTACTCAGACAGTCCGAAGATGCATTGCATCGACTAAAAATATCACATTTCCTTCCCACAGTACATTCACCACCACAATCTACACCTGCTTCTCCTGGATCTTTCACTCCGTTATTGCAATCGCTTGCTAAAATTCGAATACCACGGTTGTTTTAAAAAGGAAAATGCTTAATTCTAACTCACGTAAACAAGTTTTTGATACACAAACATCACTTTGACAATCGAAAGATACGTTACAAGATTGAGAATTATTACATTTCATCACAAATCGCCATTCTCCACCACAATCGATAGCACTTTCGCCTTCATCTTGAATTTGATTTTTATAATGACTAGCTAAAATAGATGAAACTAATCAGTCGATGCTGAACACTCACTCAGTTAACTTACGTATGCAAATATTTGATGCACAGAAACGACTTTGACAATCTTTCGATGAAACACAATTGGATCCATCGAGACATTTGCGTTTCGGTGCACATATTCCACCACAATCTAATCCTGTTTCATCTTGATTCTTAATTCCATCCGTACATTTTGACACTAGACAACGCACAGATAATACGAACATATAGTTTGTTCAATACTATATGAATCAATTCGTACCTTTTGGTTCTATTGATGATGACGTAGCACAGTGAAAGAAGAGAGTTCTGGGATCAAAATTACAATTCGGCTGTAAAACCAATCGACAAATCATGTAAGAAAACGAGAATTGCTGGTTAACCAAATCTAATAGATGTCCAAAATCATGTGGAATTAACATCAGTTGTATTTGATTTCCATAGTCATCTAAGACAACTGTATTGTCTTGATTACAGAACGTAATTTCTATCCGAATAATTTGATTGCTGAGATCATTCTGTCCGATTAGAATCTTTCGTTCGAACAGATCCATAATATCGGAGCTAAAACGCATCTCATAAGCATCATCATCCATTTTATTTAAAATCAATATGTTGGATAGGTCAGATAAGGAGAAAGTATCACCTTCATAACATCCATTCAATCGCTTAAACAAATCGTCTAAGAAAAAGTTTATTTTCTTTTATTCTAAGAAATAGTTTCTTTACTTGTTTCAAAATTCCTGTCCCATAAATCAAAATAATCATCAGCACGTGAATTGACTCTCTGAATAGAATGAAACAAGTAGAATTCAAGGGAAAATCAGAGAATTTACCGTTAAGATTGGTATGAAAATAATCGATAGAAAGAATTTTGTCATGAAAATCATGTTTGTCGCAATGCAAGCTGATTTTGTATTGCTGTATATAATAAAAAGTAAATGAAACTCGAACGCTGTTCTCGATTTTCGAACAACGAAATGATTTGATTGAAAAAACATGTTTTTCATCACCATATTTCTTGATACCAGGTGGAAACAATTTCTATTGATCAGGAAATCACATATCGCACTCATCGTTCGAATATACTAGTTTGATATTCTAACAGAAAACAGTACACAGAACTAATCATCTTTTTGTTGTTGTTCAATGTTGAAATACAAAATATTTTGTGTCAAAGAAGACATACGAATGTAAAAGACGATTTTGGTCAGTTCGACAATAAAAAAAAACATATGATTCTCTTTTTTTGTTAGGAAGGATTATCGTAGGAAAAAGGATAATCGTAAATAGATGCGTACTGTTTCGAAATCTTTTTTGATGATGGTAGTCAAAGCAACCAACGCGAAAATCTCGATTATTTCTATTTTGAGCAATGAAGATGGAAATCAAATGGATCGATAGTATTTTGGTTACTGACTTATCAGAACAGTTTAGGAAATTGTAAAATGGATGTCTGTTGAGATGTAGAGAAAGAAAAGAAAACATGTGACATAACGACGAAGAACGAGAAAGAGAATACGTCGATCGGTGTGTATATAAACCTCGTGTTCGTTCGATTTAATCGATATCTGATTGCGTAAGGATCGAATAAGAATTTCGTGTTAATTCTTGCCAACAATCTTTGCTGTTAGAATGGTAAATTGTTTGGAAAAACTATCGAATGAAATATTCTACGAAATCTTCGATTATCTCGATGGTTTCGATATTTTTCGAGCATTCTATGGTCTTAATCATCGTTTACAAAAACTTCTGATTAATCCATTGTTGTCAATGAAATGTCAATTGTCTTCACAAGTGGAATTCAATGTCCATTATCAATGCTTTCTTGAATCATTCAAACAGCAAGTGATTTCAATAGAATTCGCTGATAGACAAGCTGTCGATAATTTCATGCGATGTTTTGTCTTCAATTCATCATTTTCTCGTCTTCGATCACTTACTTTCGATTCGATATCAATCAACACGTTGACCATTCTTCTCTTCTATATCAAATCGTTACCCTGCCTTTCATCATTAAGTATCAGTCTTACAGATTCTTCGAATGACCTTGGCTTTATCTATCAAATGATCTTCCATTTACCATTAAAATTTCTTCAAATTGTAATACCTTATATGCGATTCTCATCCATTCATGTACAAAATCCAATTATGGTTCATTTCTCATCGATTGAACGTCTACTCATTCATCATGAATGCACCGTCAATCAGCTGATGAGCATTCTTGTTCATACGCCACGTCTTCGTCATCTGGATTGTTTCAATCTGTCCGGTGTAGGATATTCAGATTATGAACTAAATACTGCAATGAAATTGCGTTATTTGACACGGCTCGCTGTTGGATTAGTTGGTTTAAAATACGACGACTTCGAGAATTTGTTATTGTCATTATGCTTTCGATTGAAAGATTTAGCTTTGACAGTTCGTAATGAAGATACAAAGTATTTAGATGCTGACCGATGGAAAGAATTGATTTCAACCAAAATGCCTTTCTTGAAGAATTTCTACTTTCGTTATTACCATGTGCTTGGCAACTTTTTCATGATTGATTCTCATGAACAGATCATTAATCGTTTTGCGTCGCAATTTTGGGTCGATCAACATTGGATTCTGCAAATTTTAATCAAGAGAAACAAGTTGGTGTATTGCGTAACACCGATTCGGTACGCATTTCAATTTGCAAAATTCATCGTATTGAATTTTTTTTCTTTCAAATCAGCCCGATCAGTGATTATCAAGATGATTTATACACGCAGGAGTTTTGCAACAGTTACATGCCGTCAGTCGAACTGTACGTTACTGGAAAACTTACTTACAATGGAGAACCATTTATCAAGAGCGTTCATCTGGTATTTCAAATGCTATATATTACGTATGTGAACATGAATTGTGGAGATATGAATGTTAGCTTGATGATTAATATGTTAAATATTTTACCACACTTGAAATCGATGGAAATCTCCGATTCGTTATTATGCGAACCAATGAGCTTGGAAGAAGAAGATCAGATGATGTTGGTAAATTATCTGGAGAAGAATAAGATTGTGAAAATATCTCTTCGAAATGTACATGATGAGAAGCAAATCGATTTTATTTGGAAACATTTTCCTCGAATACAGTACTTTCGATTAGATCGTGTGCGACAGGCTAATCTTCAGTCAATAGCACATGATTTGATTTTGAAAGCGAACCAAAACAAGACCTTTCATCATATGACACTTTGTATTATTTGTGATGATGCTGATTGTTATCAATTAGGAAAATTACATCAAATGATCATGAAGAAAAAATTCCTAAAGAATTGTATTGTTCGTCGTCGATATGATAGATTTTATATTGAATGGATATAGATTTGTTTTGCTCTAAAATAAAGTTATTTGTAGAATGAATAAAGAAAGATTAATAATGAAGTCATGTGTCTGTCGGATATTTAACGTCGAACACACTGTTTTTTAGTAGAAACCGTGCCATCGGCATTGGTAACTGTGATTTGACCACATTGACACTTGCAGCAATCGGTATCGTTTCGACATTGTCCACGTATGGTACACCCTTTAGAGCAAATTGGCTGTTCATTGGGATTTAAACATGAGCCATAGTCTTGATTATTATGTTTATAACACTGGCATTCTTTNTTGCTAAAATTCGAATACCACGATTGTTTTAAAAAGGAAAATGCTTAATTCTAACTCACGTAAACAAGTTTTTGATACACAAACATCACTTTGACAATCGAAAGATACGTTACAAGATTGAGAATTATTACATTTCATCACAAATCCCCATTGTCCACCACAATCGATACCACTTTCGCCTCCATCTTGCATTTGATTTTTATAATGACTAGCTAAAGTAGATGAAACTAACCAGTCGATGCTGAACACTCACTCAGTTAACTTACGTATGCAAATATTCGATGCACAGAAACGACTTTGACAATCTTTCGATGAAACACAATTAGATCCATCGAGACATTTGCGTTTCGGTGCACATTTTCCACCGCAATCTAATCCTGTTTCATCTTGATTTTTAATCCCATCCGTACATTTTGACACTAGACAACGCACAGATACGAACATATAGTTTGTTCAATACTATATGAATCAATTCGTACCTTTTGGTTCTATTGATGATGATGTAGCACAGTGGAAGAAGAGAGTTCTGGGATCAAAATTACAATTCGGTTGTAAAACCAATCGACAAACCATGTAAGAAAACGAGAATTGCTGGTTAACCAAATCTAACAGATGTCCAAAATCATGTGGAATTAACATCAGTTGTATTTGATTTCCATAGTCATCTAACACAATTGTATTATCTTGATTACAGAACGTAATTTCTATCCGAATAATTTCATTGCTGAGATCAATCTGTCCGATTAGAATCTTTCGTTCGAACAGATCCATGATATCAGAGCTAAAACGCATCTCATAGACATCATCATCCATTTTATTTAAAATCAATATATTGGATAGGTCAGATAAGGAGAAAGTATCACCTTCATAACATCCATTCAGTCGCTTGAACAAATCGTCTAAGAAAAAATGTATTTTCTTTTATTCTTAGAAATAGTTTCTTTACTTGTTTCGAAATTCGTGTCCCATAAATCAAAATAATCATCAGCACGTGAATTGACTCTCTGAATAGAACGAAACAACTAGAATTCAAGGGAAAATCAGAGAATTTACCGTTAAGATTGGTATGAAAATAATCGACAGAAAGAATTTCCTCATGAAAATCATGTTCGTCGCAATACAAGCTGATTCTGTATTGTTTTATATAATAAAAAATAAATGAAACTCGAATGCTGTTCTCGATTTTCGAACAACAAAATAATTCGCGATTGAAAAAATATGTTTTTTTTTACCACCATATTTCCTGATAACAGGTGAAAACAATTTCTATTGATCATGAAATCACATATCACATTCATCATTCGAATAGACAAGTTTGATGTTCTAACAGAAAACAATACATAGAACTCATCATCTTCGTTGTTGTTCAATGTTGAAATACAAAACATTTGTGTCAACGAGGACATACGAATGTAAAAGACAATTTTGATCAGTTCGGCAATAAGGAAAACATATGATTCTCTCTTTTCTTTGTTAGGAATGATTATCGTAGAGAAAATGGTCATCGTAAGTAATGCATACTGTTTCAAAATATGTTTTGATGATGGTAGTCAAAGCAACCAACACGAAAATCTCAATTGTTTATATTTTTGGGCAATGAAGACGGAAATCAAATGAATCGATAGTATTTTTGTTACTGACTTATCAGAACAGTTTAGGAAATTGTAAAATTGATGTCTGTTGAGATGTAGAGAAAGAAAAGAAAACATGTGACATAACGGCGAAGAAGGAGAAAGAGAATACGTCGATCGATGTATATATAAACCTCGTGTTCGTTCGATTTAATCGATATCTGATTGCATAAGGATCGAATAAGAATTTCGTGTTAATTCTTGTAAACAATCTTTGCTATTAGAATGGTAAATTGTTTGGAAAAATTATCGGCACACGGACAATTCGTCGCACATGTATACTGTAATTAATTTACATTGAAAAATTATCTGTTATTGATTCACACAGCTGTGTATGTAGTTTAATTAATGCAAAGACTACACTGTAGCTAACAACTCCTTTAGTAATGTAAAGTAAAACCTAGGATTCTAGTGGTATTACTAACAAAAAAATCTGAACAAATTGGAAAAATATAGAAGAGAAGATATTATCAAAGTACCAAAAGTCAAACAGCTTTTAAACCCTAAAAAGAACTTTTTCAGAGCATTCCAAAGTGAAACATTACTTTATCGCGATGAAACAGAGCCCCATCTCTTTAACCTCTTAGTTCGTTTTTTAGTAACTTATCATTGATCAAATAGAAGGCCAAGGAATCTTCGAATCTGATTAAATAATCCACGAATATGTTCATATATTTTGCAATAGTTCATTTACTAAATATTTCTTTGTTTTAAATATGTTAGTTATTCTGAATGGAAATCCACATGTTTTCCTTATGAAATGGAGATCCGTTCGCATTTGGGATCTTTTTGATAGATCGCCTTTTCAGTTAGTCTTACTACTGTATTGCATATATAGGATAAAATACTAATAGTTGTTTTTATTATCTATTAAATCGAGGAAATTCATTACGTGGGACGCCCTAAATGAAAACTAATCATAAAAACTACACTACTCAACGGTGTACAGGTTTTCTGTTGACTCAATACATGTTAAGTTTGTCACGCCAGATTTCGTTAATTATTTACAAACATAGTTATTTTCATGAGATGTACGTCTTTTCTCATCTACCTGTATATTTTCGTAATCTTATTACAATTAATTAATTCTGCGACGAATTGTCCGTCCACGAAATTATCGAATGAGATATTCTACGAAATCTTCGATTATCTCGATGGTTTCGATATTTTTCGAGCATTTTATGGTCTTAATCATCGTTTACAAAAACTTCTGATTAATCCATTGTTGTCAATGAAATGTCAATTATCTTCACAAGTCGAATTCAATGTCCATTATCAATGCTTTCTTGAATCATTCAAACGACAAGTGATTTCAATAGAATTCAATGATAGTCAAGCTGTCGATAATTTCATGCGATGTTTTATCTTCGATTCATCATTTTCTCGTCTTCGATCACTTACTTTCGATTCGATATCAATCAACACATTGACCATTCTTCTCTTCTATATCAAATCGTTACCCTGCCTTTCATTATTAAGTATCAATCTTACATATTCTTCTAATGATCTTGGCTTTATCTATCAAATGATCTTTCATCTACCATTAAAATTCCTTCAAATTGTAATACCTTATACGCGATTCTCACCCATTCATGTACAAAATCCAACTATGGTTCATTTCTCATCGATTGAACGTCTATTCATTCATCATGAATGCACCGTCAATCAGCTGATGAGCATTCTTGTTCATACACCATGTCTTCGTCATCTGGATTGCTTCAAACTGTCCGGTGTAGGATATTCGAGTAATGAACTAAACACTGTAATGAAATTGCGTTATTTGACACGGTTCGGTGTTGGATCAGTTGGTTTAAAGTTCGACGACTTGGAAAATTTGTTATTGTTATTATGCTTTCGATTGAAAGATTTAGCTTTGACAGTTCGTAATGAAGATACAAAGTATTTAGATGCTGATCGATGGAAAGAATTGATTTCAACCAAAATGCCATTGTTGAAAAATTTCTACCTTCGTTATTACCATGTGATTGGCAACTTTTTCATGATTGATTCTTATGAAAAGATCATTAATCGTTTTACATCACAGTTTTGGGTCGATCAACAATGGATTCTGCACGTTTTAGTCAAGAAAAACAAGTTGGTGTATTGTGTAACACCAGTTCGGTACGCATTTCAATTTGAAAAATTCATTGCATTGAAGTTTTTTTCTTTAAAATCAGTCTGATCGGTGATTATCAAGACGATTTATACACACAAGTTTTACAACAGTTACATGTCGTCAGTCGAACTGTATGTTGCTGGAAAACTTACTTACAATGGAGAACCATTTATCAAGAGCGTTCATCCGATATTTCAAATGTTATATATTACGTATGTAAACATGAATTGTGGAGATATGAATGTCAGCTTGATGATTAATATGTTAAATATTTTACCACACTTGAAATCGATGGAAATCTCCGATTCGTTATTATGCGAACCAATGAGCTTGGAAGAAGAAGATCATATGATGTTGGTAAATTATCTGGCGAAGAATAAGATTATGAAAATATCTCTTCGAAATGTACATGATGAGAAACAAATCGATTTTATTTGGAAACATTTTCCTCGAATACAGTACTTTCGATTAGATCGTGTACGACAAGCTAATCTTCAGCCAATGATACACGATTTGATTTTGAAAGCGAACCAAAACAAGATCTTATATCAGATGACACTTTGTATTATTTGTGATGATGCTGATTATTATCAATTAGGAAAATTACATCAAATGATTATGAAGAAAAAATTCCTAAAGAACTGTATTGTTCATCGTCGATATGCTAGATTTTATATTGAATGGATATAGATCTGTTTTAGTCTAAAATAAAATTGTTTGAAGAATGAATAAAGAAAGATTAATAATGAAGTCATGTGTCTGTCGGATATTTAACGTTGAACACACTGTTTTTTAGTAGCAACCGTGCCATCGACATTGGTAACTGTGATTTGACCACATTGACACTTGCAGCAATCGGTATCGTTTCGACATTGTCCACGTATGGTACATCCCTTAGAGCAAATTGGCTGTTCATTGGGATTTAAACATGAGCCATAATCTTGATTATTATGTTTATAACACTGGCATTCTTTACCTTGAACGCAACAATCACTATCAGTTATACAATCTGTTTTTTCACAGCAGTTAGATGAGGTAGATGTTGTTGAATTTTGTGTATAGTCCGTGTGATTACCAATACATTCTTGAGTAAATGGATCCCGAGTACAATTTATAGTGTACTCACTGACACACTTTTGAATTGCAGAATCATAACATGTACCATTACAGAGTTTGATTTGGCCCGGTTGATAGTAGAAATAATACGAGGAGACGTTGCACACAGTTACATTGTTAACACAAACTTCACCGTATTTCATGCATTGTCCATTGCACACTCGTGATGGATAGTTGCAAAGTGAATTATTCGAACAAACTTGGTACAATGGATCGTAACAAGTCGCAGATGGTGAACCATATTGGTATCCCGACCATGGATCATATTTCACAATACATAGCTGATTGCCAAGTGGACAGACAGTTCCATTGAAGCATTGACTCGCTGATGAGTTGTAACATCGATTATCACACGTAGCAATACCATTGGACAACTGCGCCGGATTCAGTACAATACTGTTTTGTCGGATCATAACAAGTGCTCGCACCGCATAACAATTGTGAGTCAGAGCAGGAAACAGCTGATAGTAAAGATGACTGACTTTCAACTTTGTACGCTATCAAAAAGACAGCGAAAATCGACAAAAGCAAAGTAGTATGCTGACCGTTCGACAGAAACATTGTTTTGTAAAAAGTTATGTCTATAATAGAAATAACGACGAGTTTATATTTTTGCACGTATAATGTATATTTTTATGTGTAGTAATAAGTATTTAATATTTTCGAAGCATTTACAGATGACATTTAGCTCGCCAAATATTGTAAATAGCAGTTATAGTTCGTGCGAATTCATGAAATTGGAATCATAATTGCTGGTTACTTTTGCATTACGGATGATATTCATTTTATACCTGAATTCAACAGAAAAATCGACTTCCTTTCTAACATGTACATGTCTGTCAGGCAGTAAAACTGTAAATATTTTAAATATTAATCATCAAAATCTTGGTCTTACACGTACTTACAATTTTCCTCTGTCACAATTCTTAGATCTGAATAATACCAAATGTATAGTCCAATACTGTGGACGCAAAAACGATTCTGTGATAGACATTGTTTCTTTGTATAATGAATATGTATCTTGGCAAGAATTATATGGTGAAATAAACGCAAATCGTCATAAGTCTACGACCTCGTTGTGTCATATTTCATATCTATTCAAAAATATATGTTCTAGGATCTTTTCGATATTCAAAAATAATCTTTCAACAATTCAATGGACGGTATGGATAGGTAAAAGTTTACTGCCAGTTAAATCATTTTTCTTTCTCCAGTCCGTTCTAGCATGGCTTCTTTATTATTATTTCTATTGCTTTTTTACATAATCGAATCTGAAACGTTATTTTCATTAAATTATAAATTGAGATTGAGTGTGGCATAGTATATAGCGGCATGTATTATCGTTGAGATTCTTTAGTTAAATATTCAGAAAATGCGTCCGAAAGTAAGAAGAACAGTTGCTCAGTACACAATAAACTTCATGTGTTTTCATCTGTCATTAGATTGACGTATTGCCTTCGTACGAGAAAGCTGTACAGAACTTAAATGAACCTCCGCCATCGTACGCAACAGTTATCGAAAGTGAAGATACTTCTTCTTGCACCGTTTCCAAATTAATAAAATATACTTGCAAACATTTTGCGACTTATAAATTGGCTACAGCGCTGGCTACTGTTTTAATTTTGTTCTCGATTGTCTCACTAACCGCTTTGATTATCGGAGTTCGTGATCACTCCAGCTGTTCTCGAAGGCTGACACCAGCTATATGGTTGATTGTGTTCGGTGCGTTTACTTTTGTTTGCTGTTGGCTCATGAGTATCCTGGTAAGTTTTCTATCTACAAGATAGTCCTTGTCGAAATCATTGAAACTTTTAGACGATGGCTCGAACTTTCTTTGCTGATCCATATCGTCGATGGTGTAAAATTGCTTTGATTATTGTTTCCATTTCAATTTGCGTTTTTAATTTAACCTGGGGTTTTCTTGTACGTATTACTACGGCTTCTTTTCGAATTTATAATAGAGTTTCGCTTCTTTTCAGCAAGTTGCTCTTGTTTCTTCGACCTCCGGCACGAACGTACTTGATCGATGTAATCCGATCGTAATGAACTTCGCACGATGTTTGAGTTTCTTCATAATGGTGACGGCTTGCTGCGTTTTTACTTGCTTATTCACTTGAATCGTTACCCATCTCACAGAGTATCGAATCAAATTTTTTATGTACAGTAGTTTTTCCATCACAATGTTGGATATGCTCAAAAGTCATCTCTCGGAAGAAAAAGATCATTCCACCTTTACAGTATATGACATAGAATATTAATAACGGGACATTATTAGATCTACATGAGAGATCTATGTACTAAAATATCGTTTTAATCAGGAGTATGTTTTCATTTCGCATCCATATATACAGATCAGTCACTACATTTAGCATCATCAACGAACGAAGAGAACTGTTGAGTGTAGAAGAAAATTTTAGTTGTTATTGAAGGTGTTTATAGATACACTGAGGAAAACTCTTTTTCTCGATAATTCATTAAGTATTGTTTGAGTCTCTAACGTGGGCGATTCATCATGTAAATTACCCGAAATAATTGCATCGGAGAAAAAGCGATTGGTACGCGTGGTTGGAACATGTTGTTGATTATTGGAAGGTAAATCCAAATGATATTGATATACATATGGGTACACTTACGAAAAGTTTCGGCTCGATTGGAGGTTATATTGCTGATAAAGAGGTAAGATTTAGATTATCAATACACTTTATATTATCATCGATCATGACAGTACGGATAATGGTAAATTCCGACTTTATGCATCTTTTGATATGTCGAAAGATAACCGTGTGGTTGACAAGGTCAAAAATCTATAGAACAACTAGTGAGTAATATTCATTATTTTCGTCGACAATTTGTTGATATGAAGTTTATTGTCTATGATCATGATGATTCTCCCCACTGTTTCAGTGATAATCATTATACCGCCGAAGTTGCGTACGGAAATACATGCTCGTCTTTCCGAAGTGCTGCCAATCGAGAGATGTTGGAACGTGAAAGGTACACTTGCGACAGTCAGTATTCCAGCTACGTCGATTATGGAATCGTGTTGGCGATTTTGTATATCCGAACAGCATTTCTGAGAAACACTTTTAAGATAAATAGTTCGATCAGTCTTCTAATCCGATATTAGCTGACGAATAGTGACTGCCGATGAAACTTTACATTATTGTGTTTTCTATTTATTTTTGTATACGGCGTAATCTAATTGAGTACGTTAATGATTGCATTGATTAAATCTATTCGAAATTACCAGGCAATTACAAGTTAAAATGACTTGAAAAGGCCGTTCATCAAGATCCGTCGAAATATTTTCTTTATTTAAATTACGAGATAAAGGGTATCAAATATCAAAAGGAGTTAACTAGTTGATTATTGTTGTCTTCTGGAGGAAGCCAAGAAATTTCTGTTTTGCTGTATCAACAAACGTATGCTCGATTACAGTGTCCACGCTCGGATGATTCAACGGATTTGTTGGTAAATACCGAAATAGACAGTGTCAACTGGGAAAAAACCGAAAAAATAAAAGCAACATGTCCTTATGTCGACGTTCTCTTTTCCTTTTTCGACGCTTTCATATTCGTTTTTTCTTTTTTGTATTTTGTGACTAAAGTAATTACAAGACGTCACACGTTCTTGTACTCACATCCTTTGTTTATCGATTCCGGAATTGATTCGGGATAATTCCAGAATCGTAGGAACTGATTCCCAAATGTGCAACATTGCGGAATAGGATGTATTCTCTATTTTTAATGAAATGTATGTTTCCTTCGTTACACGCGAACGTCCGTCTTCAAATCTTCGGCCTATTGTTCACTATTGTGAAAAGAACTGTCTCGCTATTGGTGAAACAACCACATATAATGTCGGCAATTGGCATTGTTGGATTCATCATATTTACATCAGAGGTCTCGAGCCCGGTATGAAATATAATTATAAACTCGGCTTTATCGAACCGGATAATGTCACTATTCGTCATCTGTACTCCAATGAACATTGGACATTTCAATAAGAAAAAGAACGAACGTGCAAATTACGTTGTTCATGTAGGTGATATTGCCTATGCTGGCACGGGTGGCGAAATGGAAGTGCAAACAATATGGGATCTATTCATGAATCAAAT